GATGAAAGTGCCATTTCATTTGGGGACAGATGAAGAGCACTGGCATGCAATGCTCCCTCTAAGCTGGGGAGTCTTGTGAGCAAAAAATCCTTCTTTGTGGGCTTCTGGCATTTATGTTGTGAGCGAGCGATTTGGCTACTGCATCAATTAGTTTGCTCTGGAGCCCTCCTTCCTGAGCTAAGACAAAAATGTGTGAGCTGGAGGCTAAAAAACTGTGAGCTAGCGCACACTAACTCAGCTTAGAGGGAACACTGCTGGCATGCATTTGTCAACACCTCTCACCATTTTTTGTGAATGTGCTTGATGATATTTCTTACCCCATTCCGTTCTACCAATAAAATGCAATATGCCATCTTGCAATATGCCAGTGCAATCCCACAAGAAAAAAGGCAGAGAATTATGGAACGTAAAGTTGTTGTGGCAAGCAATATTGAAACAAATAACTGTGCCCTCCTGCAAGGGACGTAAGAGGTTGACAGGAAATGTGTCGAGTACTAAAGCAAACTCCTAGTTCCGAGGTTTTACCTTTCCCTTGTCTCACAAGATTTTGCGCTGAGAACATAATAAAAAAGATAGTTTGCAGTAAGTAATAAAAGCATACTGATTGGACAAATGATGACAAAGCTCGTTAATGAGAGATTTCAAGAAAAATTGGCTAGTTTTCAGGTTTTTTTCCAGCCGAAAGACTACTATTGAATGCAAAATCCAAAACCTGTGGAGATTTCTTCTCGGCTGTCCAACCAATATGAGTTTGTTCCTTTGTATTTTGCAGTTCTGAAACATAATACCCCAGTGCTCTAGTCTGATCTGTGTTTTACATGAGACACTGCAGTAATTCATTTGATTTCAAGAGTAATTCATTTGATTTCAAGAGGCTTTCAAAACTAATCAGTAAGCAAAATGATTTTATCCAGGCATATGTGAAACGTATTTTACTGTTTTCATTGCTGGCACTAAGCTAAGACTATGTTAGATGAGAACTCATGCTGCAGTCCTATAAAACAGAGTATAAACAAGTCTGTTAACATTTATGGCACATTTATGAAATATAAAATATACATTATATATATATCCCATGCAAACAAAATATGCATAACAGCTACCTGGATAGATTCCTCTAGGTTTCCATGTAACTTATTAAACAAAAAATATAAGAACAAAAAAACCTTCCCGTTCTTTGGTATTTTATCTTAACCAATATGGACAACCCCCCCCAAAGAAACAGATGAAATAAAGGTATTTCTAGACTACTGTGAAAATGTACCATTCCATAAACAGATTTTTGTTTATTCTATCTCTGGTCTGTAGAAACCAATATTGGCACAATATTCTTCCCTCCTTTAGGTCTCAGACTATAAATTCAAAATTATTTATCCTGTTTACAGTACATATTTACAACTTCAAAATTCAAAAGGAAAACATACAAAAGGTTGGCCACAACTGTCTTACAATGGAAATTCGTAATTTTTTCCCTTTTGGTTCTGGAAGTGATCTATAGAAATTTTATGACATGGATACATATGTAAAGGAAAAAATTAAAATAAGATCCACTGCACAACAGTATGCATGCAACCTTGTCCCCCGTTCCTCCATCACAGAGTATACCATTTTTATTTTGCATATGAAATCGGTGTTTTTGCGTACTTAAAATCCTGTTCTAAAGCATTCTGCTATTTCTTAACATGTTTGGAATAAGAGTCAAACAAAAGGGACACAAAGGGTTGGATTCTGCAGATCTGTACCGCCAATGGCAGCACTTTCCTCCAAGACTAGGAACCCTCTGATGGCACAGAAAACTTCCACCACCAGAAAGCACCTTGTGATGGAGGAAAGTGCCACCATTAGTGGAATGGATCTGTAGGATCCAACCTACAGTTTCTGTTAAGGCAAACCTGGGCCCAATGATAATCATGAGGCTGTCATGACCAACAGCAGCTGACGTTCAGTTGTTCCTTCTCTTCCTGAAACATTTAGCAAGGGAAACCTGCAATGTGATGTCCTCATGTCATACATTTCCCCACTCCCTGAGTAGCAACAGCTAATAATGCAGAGCAAGGATAAAGAAACATGATCATTATATCGTATCTGCCCTTTATTACATGTAGCTGTGAGGAGAAGAAATGGATGCAGGGCTTTCGGTAGCAATCCCAGAATGTGGGTCCCTTCTAGTTCTGCCCTGGAAGGATCAGTGATAATCAGGTCAACACTGTTTTTGGGAGATCACTAACTGTTCTCAAACCCTAAATTAGCCCAGTAACCTATTGCAAGAAGCCTTTATTTAAGCTGTTTAAAGGCCCTGCTAAAAATTAACTGAGTGAAACAAAAGAAAGATGATATCACATCAGTTCAACTTGAGTTTCCCCTTCAGGGAATCCTTTTTCTTGTCACAAAAGTGGGGGGAAATGGCACTGACCCCAATCCAAAGATAAACAATTGAACAGCTGAATTTATTTCAAGAGGAAAAACATGACTGATTTTCTTTGGACTGGGGCAAATGAACAGGACGGAACACTGACTGTGTGCCAGGCGCTGGACAAAAAAGGAAAAAATGCCTAGAGAAGCTGTGAATCCCACTAAAGTCATAAAGGTGGGAAGGGCTACGCAGTTGTTAAATTTCAGTTGGAAACTATACAACTAGAAAGGGATCTGTTGTGGGAGGACAGCTGCATCCCCTTTAGATACACAACTTCATCCGCTATACCTACCCACAAGGTGATTTCGACACGTCAACCATACGCGGCAACATGTCAACCGTATGCGGTAACTATGTTTTCACAATGTGCCCTCATGTGGTGTAATCTGGTACTTTACCACATCAAAAGAATGATCTGATTTCAGTGGTTTACTCTGTTGTGGTCCTAGCTCAACATGAATTTGTTCAAAGCAATGAACCCCCCCCCCTTCTGAGACGAAGATGGTGAAATTACCTCATGAGTGAGTATAATAGTGAGAATTAGGCTTCAGGCTGGGCATCTCATTTACTGTACTCATTATGGCAAGACACAGAGGTTTGCAAGCAGAACAAGGCCTTGTGTGTGAGGCCTCTTGAATTACTAAGTGAAGCATTCTGCTGAGAGAACACACACCAGAAAAACCCTGATTTTCACATCTGGATCCCTAAAGCCTTTGACAAAAGAAGTAGTGATGAACATAAGAAGAGCCCTGCTGGATCAGACCAATGGCCCATCCTGTCTCACACAGTGGCCAACCAGTTCCCCTGGATGGCCAACAACAGGGCAAAGCGGCCGAGGCCTTCCGCTGATGTTTCCTCCTGGCACTGGGATTCAGAGGTTTACTGCCTCTGAATGTGGAGGTTAATTAAGAAGGTGGAAGTTACTCGATATGCAGTAATTTTAAGCAGCTTTTTCTTCAGCTGAGATTAACTGGAGGATCTACAGCTGATCATTATCAACAAGCCCTTAGATTCTGCAAGAAGAAATTGAGAGAGTTCTATTGCTGGATTGTGGTTCCAGGCTATAGCATGTACTTTGCATGCTGAAGAACACAGATTCATTCCCTAGCATCTCCAGACAAAGGATTTCATGTTGTGGGCAATGTTCCTTCTAAGCAGTGGAGTCTTATGAGCAAAAATTCTACTTTGTGAGTTACTGGCATTAAAGTTGTGAGCGAGCCATTTGGCTGCTGCATCAATTAGTTTCCTTTGGAGCCTTCCTTCCTGAGCTAAGACAAAAATGTGTGAGCCGGAGGCTAAGAAACTGTGAGCTAGCTCACACTAACTCAGCTTAGAGGGAACACTGGTTGTGGGTATTCGGAAATACCTAGAGTAGGTTCAACAGACCAAGGGTTTGGCTCAGTATAATCCAGAGCAGACATTCCTGTGTGAAATAAGTGTGGTTGGGCGCTTTGGAATACTGCAAATAAATCCAGAGTAGAAGATGGCTTGGGCAACACAGCCAGAGGAATGAGGTGGTTCCAACCCAGGCAACTGCTGAGGTGGTAAAATGGACCGCACCCCTTCAGATTGCAGGGGAGGGACATTTTTCAATTTTTGCCACAATTTATGATTGGAAATAAGTGGAACAACTAGCACAGCCTGAAAAGGGCTAGGCCCCTGATGCGTTGATATTTATTGGTTTGGAGTTCTCTCTCTCAGGGAGGAGCACTAAAAGTATGACCCGTCCCTCCACAGTCCAATGAGGTACAGGCTGATCCGTCTCCTCAGAATTCTACCGCCTCATTTTGCTGCCTTTGCCGACCATGCCTTATTCTTTCACAAATTCTCTCTTTAAAAATATATAATTTACACTTTTTTTTTCATTTTTAACTAACAAGACCCTGATCCAATTCTAATCACAGGCCATAATTTTCACATGACAACTCAGGGCTCTGAACAGTCTCCTCATCTGTTTTAAGACTTTCAGCCAGTCAATTCAATAGTGTCTGGATATAGACACAAAAGCCTGCTGCTGAAAGCAGATCTCTGCTGGATTAGGGCATCTATATTTCACCTCTGCCAAATATTCCATGGGCTCAATCGCTATTTTTCATTCTGAAAATATGTTACTTGCCAAAGCACAATTCCAATCGTTTGGGATCAACACAAAGATACAAGGGCAACTGACTGGAAAATGAAAACAAATCAGATCTCTCTTGGGACAGTTTCTTTTGGTCTTTAGACCTCTCTGCAAACTGGCCGCTGACAAAGATGAGGAAACTGCTACATTTTCTGGCTATAATAATACAGCACTGACACTTGGAAAGGATACCGAGAATGGATTAATCAGAAGGAAGCCGGAGAGCAAGAATAAACAAACAGAACAGGGTTTAAAAGTTTTAAGTGGGATCCAGCTACTTAGCGGATACTGCAGCCTTGCGAGAAGAAGTGTGAATTTTTCAGTACGGTTCAAGCTGAAATGAATAGCAGCTCTCATTCCCAAAGTTAAATACCGTCTGTGCATATAAAACAGTTCGTTCATTAGTCCAAGTGTTCCTGTTGTTGCGATCTTGAAAATGCATTCCCTCATCCCCGAGTTTGTTCTTCACAGAAACGGAAGCTTCGGAGGGCCACCTAGAGAATTACCGAGAAATACATTGGGAGAGATGTAATGCAAATCCCATTTGCAGAGATTACACAATTTGCACTTTAGCTACCGAATACAGTACAGAGGGTAGCCACGTTGGTCTGCAGGAGAAGAGCTGGATCTGAGCCCACCAGAGCCTTAGAGACCAATGCGATTTTCAGGGTGTGAGCTTTTGAGAGTCAAAGCATCCTTTGTCAGGGGGATCTTTGACTCTCTGAAGCCTATACCCCCAAAATCTTGTTGGTTTCTAAGGTGCTACTGGACTAGAATCTAGCTGAATACAATACAGATTCCCAAAGTGGGTGTAAGTAAAAGGTAAAGGTAAAGGTTCCCTTGCTCGAAAGCCAGTCAAATCTGACTCTAGGGTTGCGTTGCTCATCTCCGTTTCAACGCCGAAGAGCCAGCGCTGTCCGAAGACGTTTCCGTGGTCATGTGGCCGGCATGACTAGACGCCGAGGTGCACGGAACGCTGTTACCTTCCCACCGAAGTGGTACCTATTTATCTACTTGCAATGTCTTGCTTTCGAACCGCTAGGTTGGCAGGAGCTGGAACTAGAGACGGGAGCTCACTCCGTCATGCGGCACCCAGGTCTCGAACTGCTGAACTACTGACCTTCCCCAGCCTACAGTTCAGCATCTTAACCACTTGAGCCACCACAGCTCCTTGGAAAGTGGGTGTAGCACTGAATTAAAAGCCCTGAACAATCAGGCAGACTTCAGTACCCTTTTACTAACAATGCCAGCCAGATACCAGCGTAACAGACGAGCTTGGGCCAAAATCACTGTTCCTGATTGTTCACGGTGGTATTGCAATGTTAGATTTCTGGATGACCTGTGCAGATCTTCTGTTGACACTGGATGGTCTGTCTTATGATATAGCTGGAATGACTCCACAACTTTGTTGCCCTCTTTGCATGTTGCAAACTGGGGTGGGGTGGGGGGTGCCTAGGTTGCGTGGAGAGTTATGGAGTAAAGCATTTACCCATTTGAGTGGTCCTGGTGTCAGCAGCAATTGCTTCCCTCTGTATTGTTGGGAACCATTTTATGCCAGAGTAAGGAATGAATGTGGCTTTAGGTAGCCCTAGCTATGCCAATGTTTAATGGCACTGTGAAGTGGGAGCAGCAGCAGCAGATAGACTGGAGAAGGTGAAAGAGGGAACTGTTTAAATGTTCAAGTGATGGCCACGTTGTGTTCATTTGCCATTCGCCTCAGTAGTGACCAGAACTGCTACGGAAGAAGTAGTCTGAGGAGGACACTCTTCCCTCAGGTAGATATTCTACTAGTGAAAGCTGCATAATATTGATCTAAGTAGCTATGAAAGCTAATTAACCCTTAACTGTAGCAATGCTATACTGCCCCCAAAATGCATGTTCGCTGCCTGATAGGAAGGGAGAATGATATTCATGTGGGAATGAACCATGTTTTTGCTCCACCTCCACAGTTACTTTGTACAAACATTGACAATGATCACTGTCGATGTGATGTCCATCTGCAGTACAAGAATGAATTGTTCCCCAAAGCAGGATATCTCCAGGGCCCTCAGACTTTTTGTGATCCTCTTTCCCAGAAGTGAACAGATGAACATTTCTGCTGGCTAGTGTGTTACCTTCTTCACAAGTCGGTCCCATCCACTTGTGGAGACAAGCGCATCTCCCACTGCGAGCATCGCACTGGGATTTATTGGCACACTGGCACTGCTGAGAACAGTTGGGGCCATATCTGTTCGGCCTGCATTCTGCAAGGCAAAAAGGAAAGAAAAAAAGTTTGGTGTATCTTAAACTTCACAGATTTTTCATTTTATTTCATTTATTACTTTTCAGTTTTTCAAATAAGTGTTTTAAAGCAGCGTGGAGAGTTGTAGGAAGAGAAAAGAGAAATAAAAGATTGCTAGCCAGATACTTCTGGAACCTTCCATTTCAATTAAGTCAACAGCTTAAAATTGGTGAACCGCTATTTGGATTGAAATCAGCTGATTAAACTTAATATTTTCATCTCCCAAAGGTCAAATGAAGATGCATCCTGGGAGGCTGCATATATTGTCAAGTAAGCTACACTATTGCTCTGACATACCTGGGAAGACCCAGGTTCGAATCCCCACTCTGCCATGGAACCTTGCTGGGTGACCTTGGGCCAGTCACATACTCTCACCCCAAAGCTACTTCACAGGGTGGTTGTGAGGTTACAATGGAGGAGAGGAGAATGATGTAGGCTGGTTTGGGTTCCTGTTGTGGAGAAAGAGGGGATATAAATAGAGTAAATAAACAAACAGTAAACTTAGCTTAACAGGAGGACAGATAAAAGGTAAGTTGTTTGATAGGTGGGAAAGAGAGAAGAAAGCAGGGAAGAGAGTGCACTTGGAAGCTGCCAATAAGAGAGAAGGAGGAGATACTGTGAGGAAGGGGATACAGGGGAAAGTGAGGTGCCCCTCAGAAGTCCTTGTGGGTATGGGCCTGGGCCTGGCAACCAGCACTGCACAACTGGGCCAGGGTTTTCCCAGCTGCCAGGGGGAGGGAAGTAGGAAAAGCTGAATACGCGGGGAAGACGAAGGTTAGGTTCGCTGGTGGGTGGAAAGTACAGGGGGAAATGGGAAAAGGGGAGTGATTATGAAGCCTTTCCATGAAGGGGAATAAGTAACAGTGGGGAAGGGGAAGACCGGCAGATCCTTGTAGGTCCCTTGTTTCTTTTATCCTAAAAACAATCCTGTGGGGGTAGGTTTGGCTCACGGTAGGGTTGCCAAATGGCACTTACCCTTGCGGCGGGGGACTCCAGCCCGGCTCCCGGTGTGTGCGCGTGCGTGCAAAGCACGTGCCGCATGCACGTCACAGGGAAGTGACGTCATGACGCCGGGCACGCTGGGGGCGGGGCCACAGCCATTTGAGGGGAAAACATAGAGTTTTCCCCTCAAATGGCTGTGGCCCCGCCCCCAGCATGCCCGACGTCATGATGTCACTTCCCTGTGACGTGCACGCGGGGGTGGGGTTTCCCCCGGGGCCCGATTCCGCCGCGGTGGAAATCGGGCCTCCAAAGCGGGGGTTTCCCCGCCCCTCAGCCCGATTTGGCAGCCCTAGCTCACGGTGATTGGCTGAAGGTCACTGACGGTGCGACCCAAAGCAAAGTTACACCCTTCCAAGTCTATTGAAATCCCATAGCTTTGAACATTCTAACTCTGCTTAGGACTGCACTGCAAATCATCTCCAGGGCAACGTGAGAAACTGAACCCAGTTCTGCCTATTACGTCACACTGGATTCTCATCACTTTCCCTTTACGGATTGAATTTTTTTGTAGATGCCAAGGCTGAGTTGCTCTGCCTCGTCCCATCCCTCGTATCCTAAGCGGCAAATGGATACAAAAGCTCTTTTCTTTTCCCCATCCAGCTATCATATAATGAACAATGATTCCCCAGACACTTTACAATCACAACCCCCACGTGTGGGAGAATTTTTTTTTAAGGGAGATTCAGACCCTTCAGCTCTTTCAATTAAGGAAATGTTATGAGACAGGCTCTTGCAAACACCTCTAGGCCTGATTTTAATTTAAGTAATAACCACATTTTCATGTTCATAACAATGTGTATTTAAGACATCTGTTTGAAAGTCTGCAATGTTAATTTAGCGGGGGGGGGGGGAAGTAACCCAATAAAGGCCTGCTATATATTCTCTGGGCTCTTTTTTTTTTTAAATTAACATTATGGTTGTTTAATGGGTGCTTTACCAGAGTTCAAATTAAAATCAGGCCTTTTATCTTTATAGCTTATGCCGAAGCACAGCTGCTCCTGGTTATATCACAGATGAACTGGGCCTAATTGAAAATAAAAATGCAAATAAAATCGGTCCCATAACAGTTTTTTTCCTCAGCTTTGGGGGGGGGGGGGGTTTGCACTGCCTGTTTAGAGGAAAATAAAAGCGAGCCATACTCCCCACCCCCCTTGCAGTGAGTAGAAAACTTCACTCTTATTTTTTGGGGGCTGAGATCCCCCCCCCCCTTGTGTTCCCTTGTTGGCTAAACAAAAATATAGAGCTGGGGAAAATAATTCCTCTGGATTCATGCAGCCTTGCTCATTTGGGCTGTGTGGTCCCTATTCAAACCACAAAAGGCTGAAAGATTGAGCTAAGTTGGAATCTTGACCACACGACGGTGCAGCGAGGAAGAAAGTCATTTCCTTTTCTTCAGCTCTTTGGGTTGTACTGACTTCTGCGCTTCCAGCATTCTGGGGCACCTCATTCAAACTGGCCGCATTTGAAAGCAATCCTTTCTGTTTCCTTTTGGAATCTTGGATCCCAAGATTGTAAGCAACCAGTTCCTTCCATTCCTTTAGACTCAGGACCACATTTCAACACTGGGTTGTTGTTGGTGGGGTTTTTTTTTTTCATTTGCACGAAGTGAATGATAAGTGGAGGCAATTCTAAGTTTGCATACCAATGTAAACCACAAATAAGCCGTTTTATATAACTTCTCTAAGGCCAGTAAAGATGAGGGCTCTGCTGCATCCTTCAATAACTTATTCTCTATCATAGCTATAATCAAGGGTTGGATTCAAAGGTTCCGTTTTGCTAATGGTGGAATCTTCCTCCAGTGGAAGGTACATGTTCTACTGAAGGAAGGGTCCATATACTGAAAGAAGACAACATTAGCGGTACATAACCTTTGGACTAATGCATCGTCTGGAAAAAAAATCCTCTTGAGAATAAATAATGAAGGTGAACTCTGTGGATCATATCTCTGATTACTCAAGAGAGCCACATAAAACTGACTGTGATCGTAAACCTATGTACACACCCATGCATAGAACTTGGTTGTTGTTGTTCAGTCGCACAGTCGAGTCCGACTCTTCGCGACCCCATGGACCAGATCCCGCCAGGCCCTCCTGTCTTCCGCCGTCCTCTGAAGTTGGCTCAACTTCATGTTCGTTGCATCTATGACACTGTCTAACCATCTCATCCTTTGCCGTCCCCGTCTTCTTTGACCTTCAATCTTTCCCAGCATCAGGGTCTTCTCCAGTGAGTACAGACAGCTAAGTGACTCTCTACTTTGATTCCAACAGCCCAGGTGGGAAGCTTGTACTTCCATCAGCTTTGTTATTTGACATACACTTTCATTACCATTATTACATTCCCATAAGTTTTCTAACAAACCACTAAAAGCAAGTACATAAGAATTCACTCCCAGATTATGTAAAAAGTGTATTCTAAAGCAGATTTCTATACTTGATCCTCTGCCACTGCTGATCTCAAGGATAAACAAACAAATAAACAAAAAAGGCTTCAATGAAAGGACCCAAAGCAAATGTGCTAAACTAGGGTTCATCAAATATCTTTCCCCCAGGCTCAAAAGATCTGGGCTTCCTTACTCAAAGGTTAAGAGCTCAGCATGACCCCCACCCTTTGGAGAAGTTAAATTGTTCTGCTTACTGTTTCCCACGGCACCTTCCTTGATTAGAACTTATGTATATCCTATTCTGCCCACCTTCTACTGTTAACAGAGGACCTCACTCACTGCGTATGGATCGAATTCCCTGTGACTAGTTATTGTTTCAAAATGGTTTCTCTTTGTAAAATCCTCTCACACCCACCCATCTGTTGCTTGTAACTCTGAGTGCAGATAACTGCTAAAGCTGTAACTCACAAAAGCTTATACTGGAATAAATTATAGTCTTTAAAGGTAACACCAGACTTCTGGTTTCCCCCCCCCCACATCTACAAAGGACTCTGAATGAAGAGGTTGTATGCAGCTGTGTACTGCCCCCCAATAAACTCACCCTCTTCCCAGACAAACAACCCAGGAGAGACTGGTAGAGTATCCATGTCTATATAGGGTTAGGCTGAACTAAAGGATAGCTGTGACTTAAAGGAGAAGGAAGAGAGCTTCTACAGCACGTATCTCTACAGGGGGAAAAGCCTCATCTTCAGGCACTTACTCAAAGCCCAGTGCCTTTGCTATCTTGTGTCAAATCCCCTGTATGCATTTTAGCCTGACTCACAATTGTCCCATCCTCCTCTCCAGAATGAGGCAAGCAAAAGATGGCAGAGAGCTGAGGTGGGTAGATTGGATTGTACTAGTGGAAAATTGTGTTTTGGAATGTTCCCATATGGGGAAGAAAACTTCCTGCAAGTTAAAAAAAACAACCCCCCCCAACCAACAAAACCTACCACAGCAAGGAGGAGCGGGCTGAGCTGGAAGTCTCCTCAATACCTTTTTTTTTTTAGCCCAAAGTCATGACTCAGCAGATACACATAACATTTTTCTGACTTTTTAATTATAAAACGAAAGCAGCCACTTTGAGTCTGAGCTGAGCTTCACCCCTTTTCCCGATCACACATCTTTCTGCTCAATATCAAATGTGCTCTTCAGGGGAATGGACATACCTGTTTCTCTTCTTTCTTGTCCGAAAATGTTAAGCATCCCTTCTAGGAATGCTTCAATGTCCACTAGTTTGGCTCATAAAACTAACTCCTCGGTTTCGCTATTTTCACTGAGCAGTGTGGATGTTTGTGAGAGTCAGTTTTTCATTAAGCAGTCTGGCCGTTTGTGAGCAGCTCAAGCCTGTTTAGTGAGTTATTTTCTGTGTATTCAGACAGTTCACTGCAACCAGTAACATTTCAGGCACACACACTCAGACTGACGGCAGTGCTGCTTTCCTTCTCACAACCCTGTCATTTACTGTGCACTGCTTGGCAGATGATTGTTTAAGCAGCAAGCAAACCATTCAGTAAGCCAGCCATACGTTTTTTAAAAGTTTTGTAATTTGTGTTTGTTTAAGCTTGTGTCGCTGGATGTTATTTCACACATGCACATTTTTACACAGCCTTACAAGACTCATTACTCCCACTCCCATGCACACATAATTCAAGTACCTGATCCCACCATCTATGACCCGGGGGGGGGATCGATTTCACCCACTTTGTGGACCTAAAAGCAGTCACAAGGAAGAAGTAAATGAAACTCCACCATCACAACTACTGCGTAGCCACAAAACTGTTCGGCAGCTGCTCAAGTCGGACCGCAGCTGTCAAAAATGGTATGTTCGCCTGTCGAACATGTTCTCTGTGAAGTTCATGGTGCTTCTAATCCCTTCCCCTTGTTGCTTCTCCTCTAAAACTCACAGATTCCTGTGGCTTTTTAATACTTTGAAAAAGCATTAGGAGATGGTTAACATATCTCTGCTGTGTAACATATAGCTTGGCCCTAACTGGAAGGGAATTTTTCTTTTATGCAGAGGTCCATTCAGTGATGGTATCTCCTGTTGCTACACTACATGTATATATCAAGCAAGTGTGAAAACACAGAAAGAACCAGTATGATCAGCACCCTGTTTTCTTACCTATTTCACATCGGTCCCCAGTCCTGCCAGGCAGGCAAAGGCACTTCCCGGTCACCGGCTCACACTGAGCTGATCCTTCACAGTCACACCGGTGTTGACATTTATCCCCAAACCACCCAATGGCACAACCTGAAAAAGGGGCATTTAAATTGTTTTAATGCTTCATTTAAAATGTTTTATCATCGTTATTACAAATTGCAAAAGCAATTCCCATGCAATGGCTGCAAACTGGAATATAAAGTACAAGAAGACGAGCAGAGTTACATCACATAAATCAGACGTTGCAGGAATACGTTTACATATAATATATACTCTATATTATAATCTTATATCTGACGAAGGGGGATTTTAACTCTCGAAAGCTCAAATTTTGCTGCTTTCTAAGGTGCTCCTGGACTCAAATCTAGCCCCTCTACATTATAATGTCCCAGAGTTTTATCTGGGACTAAGAAAGATGGTGTAATAAAATTAATGGATTTTACTTAAAATATTTTTTAATGTCATAGTCTGTAGAGAGGACAGGACCTATGACGTCCTGGGGAGAGGGGACCGGCGAGAACGTGCCATTCAGGGCTCAGCTTTCTACCTGCTCAGTCCCGCCCCCAGCTGCCTGCCTGTGAAAGAACTTGAAACCTGCTACAGTTTGATAATTAATCAGGGCTCCCAAGTACTTACCTTGATTCGGCAAGGGATATATAGTTCTTCGTGGGACCATTCCCGCGGGGAAAACACAGGCGCTGCACTATTCCGTCACCCAAACGTGACGTAGGCATGTGGCTGGGCGACGCTCTAGCAATGGGGCTGGAAACTCGATGGTACCATCGAGTTTCCAAACCCATTACCAGAGCGTCGCCCAGCTACGTGCCTACGTCACGTCTGGGCGATGGAATAATGCAGCACCTGTGTTACAAGCAAGAATCTTCCGGCGGGGAAGCATGTGTCCCCCGCCGGTTCGTAGGTAGGTACTTGGCAACCCTATTAATGGTTAATTACTTCTTGTTTGTATTATATGTGGATGTTTTATATCTTAAGGGTTCTTTTTAAACAGACAGGAGGAATATAAATAAATTTTAAAAATATGTTAAGGAATTACATTACATAGACACAGTGTTTCAGTGACAATGATCTGTATGCAAAATATCACTTTCAGCTGGTAAAAAAATTAAGAGGGGGTGTTTCTCCCTTTAACCATCAAAAAAGGCTGCTATGGGTTTAACAGGACCTGCATGGAGAAAAGCTAAGTGGAATAGGGGCAGTAACAAGAACAGGAATTGGGAGAGATTAACTGAAAAAGCTGGCTGGATCCAACCTATGGAAAAGAATCAAAATCTCAGCACCTGCCCCCGCCAATGCTTCACCCAGGGGTTGCCATCATGGCCACTGGGACACCTTCTGGTGGGCTGATGGCCTCCCCTACACCTGCACCAGGCCAGCCCAGGGGCGAAAAAGGCCCGTGTGGGTGACCTGCCCTGCCCGAGCAAGGTGGTGATGCCCAGACTGTGCAGCCCAGGGGAAGCCGTTCCCGCCCCACCTCAGGCTTGCACAGACCAGAGTAGGAGGCATTCGGTATGCCCGAATCCTATGTAGGGGAGGTGGTGCCCGGCACACCCCAAAACAGTGTGGGGCTTGAAAAGAAGCGACTGGCTTGGGAAGTAGCCTGCCTCTCCCTTCCTCCCTGCTTGGGGGTGGGAGGTGGGGGTGGGGCAGGGCCCTTTCCCCATCCAAGTCTGCCCCTGGCTTTAGCTCTCAGGCAATTTTAAAATAAGACATTAATATGCATACCCTTTTCACACTGTAGTCCATAGAAGCCAGGAAGACAAAGGCACTGCCCTGTGGTTGGAAGACAGGTAGCTCCATTTTTGCAATGGCACGGATACAGGCATTTGAGACCATAAAATCCAGAAGGGCAGGCTGAGAAACAAAATAATTCCATTATTTCATAAGTGCCGCAGTTCTCACAGGATACTGCCTGGTGATTTAACGTTGATATCCCAACCTTCCTCCAAGGAGCTCAGGACAGAGTATATAAAGCATCTGCAACCTTTTACAATCTGTGTCAAAATTCAGTGTAAGAAGGCCCATTGTCCAAACAAAAATGATACATCCTAACATTACTGATAACTGATATGTTGATCAATAAATCACAATGTTTCTGCATCCCAAACACTGGCTGTTGCGAGTCATAGATTAGGAAGGGGCAGCACACATAAAGTCTCACAATATGTAACATACACAGGTGTACCCTAGGCCACAGCCCACTGGCTCTTCTCCTTTGGCTTACACCTCTAGCCCACCCAGGCTGTAAGTACCTGCAGGAAGAGGAAGATGATGCTTTCAGATGGAAGTCAGCTGGATCTTCCTTACTTCCTACCAGGGCTTTTTTTGTAGAAAAAGCCCAGCAGTAATTCATTAGCATAATAGGCCACACCCAACAGCTGAAACTCATTAGCATATTAGGCCACACCCTGACACCACAGCTCATTAGCATATTAGGCCACAGCCCCGTGTTGCCAAAAGTGTGGTCATCCAGCCACACCCACCTTTTGCTTCTTATTCTGTTTACCTTGTTTGTTGTCAAAACCCAGGGACTCCTTTGCATGTTAGGCCACACACGCCTACTGTAGCCAATCCTAATGAGTTTCTGCTGTTGGGTGTGACCTATTATGCTAATGAGTTCCTGCTGGGTGTGGCCGACTCAGGAGCCAGCCAGAACTCCGTTCCTGCGCGTTCCTGCCCAAACATAGCCCTGCTTCCTACCTGCCAACACAAACTACTGAACACGCAATAAGCTGCCCTATACCTAATCAGACATATGGTTGATCACAGTCAGTACTGACTACTCAGACTGGCAGTCACTGTCCAGGGTCTCAGGCAGAGGTCTTTCACATCACTGACTATCAGACTCTTCCACTAGAGATGCTGGGGACTGAACCTGGGATTTTCTGCATGCCAAGCGGATGCTCCACCACTGTGCCACAGCCCCTCCACTATTAGGCTGGAGTCCATCAAACTGGGCTTTGAAACCATGACATTGGGTTACTCTTGAAGATGGTTTCATGCAATGCACAAACAAGGCCCTCCTGGTTTAATCCTGGCTTGTTCTGCACTCTTTGTATGCTCCTCGGCTACAGAAGAATGAAGGTGATGAAATCAAGGTTGGCGGAGGCAAGCACCTGAGAGCCGAATTCTCATTTCTTGAATGAACAGTAAAAATAAATGATGGTTTTACGTTCTGTCTGAACCGGTGCACTCCAGCAGAGAACTTAGTGTGTGTGTGTGTGTGTGTGTGTGTGTGTGTGTTTGGGGGGGGTGGACAATGTTTTCAGTAGTATCTCTGCTTCATTATGTGCACTATCCATTATGAGTAATGTTTGCCTTGGCTCATGGCCTATAACATCAGCAGGCATGAATGCAGCATCCATGCCACAAAAATCAGTCCCTGCTCTTGACTGACTACTTACTATGTTCACAGGAATGTCCATAATAACCTTCTGGGCAATGACAACAGCCTGTAAACCTGTCACAGGTTCCATTATTCTGGCAAGAGCAATCTAGCTGACAACCAGAACCATATTTTCCAGGAGTACATTCTGAAAAGGAGAGAAAGAGAGGGAGAACAGATGAATACCTGCTTACTTGGCTAAACCACAAAAACTGACCGAGACACTCCCCCTCCTCCTCCTCCTGAAATCAAAAGACAAAAGGAAGATCTCATAACTGTATTTATTTCCTGTATCCACTCTGCGACTCACTAGGAAAGACATCCTTCTTCACATTCAAAATGTGATTATTATTTTTTTACCCAGCTGAGGTTTTAAGAAGATTTTTTTTCAACACCCCGGAGGATTTCAAATTGTTAGGTAAGTAACCACAACTAGCTCATCATAAAGGTGCTAATGAATAATGAGTCTGCACCTCCTCTGCAACATTCTATGCAGTACTGCAGGAGCCATTTTGGTGTAGTGGTTAGGGACGCAGACTCTATTCTGGGAGAACTGGGTTTGATTCCCCTCCACATGCAGCTGCTGGGTGACCTTGGGCAAGCCACAGTTCTCTCAGAGCTGTTCTCTCAAGAGCAGCTCTCAAACAGCTCTCTCAGCCCTACCTATCTCACAGGATATCTGTTATGGGGAGAGGAAGGGAAGATTGTAAGCCGCTCTGAGAAGGGTGGGGTATAACTCCAATCTCCTCCTCTTCCTCCTCCTATTGCACTGGCGATCAAACTACCTCCGAGTGAGCTCTCTCACGCCAAGGTAACCTGGGGTCAAACTTGTATTGGCCTGGGTGACTCCATCTGTGCTATATGCTGGTGCTTAGTTGCCCTGACTCCTGGGAGAGAACAGTATTAGCTGCTCTCAAGGGAACTTTCTGTCTCTCATACTTGTTAGCAGTACTTATCTTCAAGGCTTGGGCTGTTTTTCCCCCCCACTGGAATCCAGGTGTAAGATGGCGTGGTCCATCCCAGTGTTTGGGATAACTTGATTAACTTGAGAGCCAGTTTGGTGTAGTGGTTAAGTGCACAGACTCTAATCTGGGAGAACCGGGTTTGATTCCCCACTCCTCCACATGCAGCTGCTGGATGACCTTGGGCAAGTCATAGTTCTGGCAGAGATGTTCTTGAAAAGAGTAGTTCTGTCAGAGCTCTCTCAGCCCCACCTACCTCACAAGGTGTCTGTTGTGGGGAGGAAAAGGGAAAGGAGCTTATAAGCCGCTCTGAGACTCCAAGTGAAGGGCAGGATATAAATCCAATCTCTTCTTCCTCTCTTCTCTAATCATTCTTTGACTTTCGGCCAGCATTTAGGGTATAAGATGTGTAGCTTTAGTTATGCTCTTGGTCTTGAGGTTTGGCTAAGCTTTGCTGTGCATGTGTGCGCGTCTCAAGCAGAGTTCCCTCAAAGCTGCGCTAGGGGGTGCTGGCACAAAACTTTTCGCTGGCAGCACAGGGATTTTAGTTTCAGTTCACAAGTAAACTGAGAAGGCATTTTTCCCCCTTCACTTGAAACAATACAGGATGGGGGCACCTACTTCTGGGGCCCATAGAATTGGATCCCCTGGTCCAATCTTTTTGAAACTCAGGGGGTTTTTTTGAGGAGAGGCACTAGCAGCTATGCTGCAAATCTGGTGCCTCAGCCTCAAAAAAACGGCCCCCCTGAG